CTGACACATACCTCTCTTTATTGTTAACCATCCAGTGCTCTGTCTGGATCACAGGATCTTGATCTAAGTATAGGTTTCACATAAGCACAATTAAGTGTTCTGTGATTCTCTTTCTTCTTAATGTAATGTTAGCCATAATTTGTTATGATCTACACAGTGAAATGCCTTCAATTAAACACAAGTAGGCATCCTTCTGGTCTTCTCTGCTTTCAGCCACAATCCATCTGGCGTCAGCAGTTAAATCCTTGGTGCCACCATCTCTTCTAAATCCAGCCTAAATTGGCAGTTCTCTGTCAAGAAACTGTTATACCCATTTTTTAACAATCTTCAGCAAGATTTTGCTTGCATGTGATATTAATGATATTGTTGTTGAGTACTGTCAAGTTGGAGCTGACCCACAACTGACCCTCCAGCGGGTTTTCAGAGGCAGTTAATCACATGGGAGGGTGTCGCAGACCGGGATGTGAGCGGTCTCGACACTGACCCAGGGATGTGGTGAAGATGTCAGGTGGGAACGGATTCGGCGGGACAGACAACACAACACCAGAGAGAGATTGTGATGCTGCCAACTTTACTGAGTATAAATGAACTTTTTATACAATCCTTCTTGTCACTATGCCAGATACATGACATTTACTTTTACTTTGAAAAATCTAACATTTGCTGTTGTAAGAAACAGCTGACGCAAACAGATCAGTAAGCTATTAATAAAGGATAACATCATAAACATGCGGTCTTACAAGGTGCATTTCAACAAGACGCCAGACGTGTGGTTACCAGTTTGGCCACTTCTCAAAAGTTTCTTTCACTTTTTGTAAAGTCTGACAGGCGGTTGCTATATAATGAACATGGCAATAATATGACCCTTTATAATGCTCTATTGCTTTGGAAATTCCAGCTAGTACTTCAGTTTTTTCAGTAGGGTTTAATGTACACCATGGAGGCCTAGCTCGTTTTATTCTTTAACTAGTCGAAAGCTTTATACAAAGGCACATTAGAATCATTATCCAGATGACGTACAAGCATAGCAAAGGGTGTGTTATCTGATTCATTTACAGAAATATTTCTTAATATATTTTCAATGAAGTATTCAATGCTCTGAATTCTTTCAACTAGATTTGGTTGCCCCCCATTTCCAGGAACATCCAGCCTTTCTTCTAAGTAATGATTACTCACAGTGCTCTCTGACTTTCCAGGACTTTCTGGAATTGCAGGAACACTTGAGGAAGAAAAGCAAAACAGATGGAGAAAGTAACTAAACATAATAGACCCCATTCCCCAGAACACTTTATAATCCTGACTCAGCCCTAGAGTTTGAGTGAGACATCTCCACAAATATCCGGGCTTCAGCTCAACCTTTGCCTTCATCATGCTGTAGGACCCTGGCAGCCTGTAGTCACGCATCGCTTGTAACACTGATGCCGTAGACCGTGCAGCTGGCAAGGCAGGTGTGGCAGGAGGGGATTGCCTATCCTCCCATGCAGCAGCTGGTGGATTTGAACCTTGTGCCTGTGGGACGGTGGCACGGCATCTTACCATTAGGTCACTGAAAGGACCAGTTATCAGAAACTCAGTTTCTGGTAAAGTACAGTTAACCCCACCCCACCCGCTTGAGTGGTTTTTAGCAAACAACCCCCACCTGTGGTAAATCCCACCCTGATTGATCAACTGCCATAAAGTGGAATAATTCTTTTTTTAAGGGCACAAGGGATTTTCCTCATTCCTGTATCTGAAGTAACTGATAAGATTCAAATAGGTTAGCAAACTGTTTCCCTGAGCTATGGCTAGCCAATTGAAGGTGGACAAATACCCCAACTACTGTGGATGGCCAATCATGGCGTGTATGGTTGGGCAGGGGAGTAGCAGAGGTATAAAAGGAGGGGCAGACATCAATTCCGGGCTCTCTGGATGCTGCTGTGTCAGCACGCGGGAGCCCAGGTTCGAACTCGAAATAAACTTTGTCAATTCGGCTAATTGGCTCAGTGATCTTTTTGGGGCCTCGCTCCATTACAGTCACTAGAGCTCCCAATTGATACTGATATTAATGATATTGTTTGATAATTTCCACATTCTATTGGACCACCATTTTTTGAGAATGAAAATAAATATGGATTTCAGTCAGTTGGCCAGTTAACTGTCTTCCAAATTTCCTAGCACGAACTGGTGAGCATGTCCAGGAGAGCAGCCATTTGTTGAAGCATGTCAATCGGTATTCCAGTCTATAAGAACCAAACTATGATCTTAAGCCTATTCCACCTGAACTTAAAAACCATCTCAAGAATAGGTGGTTGTTTTGTTTTGTTTTTTATGGTGAGAAAAATTTGTATTTAGAATTAGCCCGCTGGACTCAGTTTAGAGGATCCCAATTTTGTTGGCAACATCCAAAGCGTCATAGTCAGGAGCAAGTTGAACATAGGCCTTCTTCTCTCCATCAGGCCTAATCAAAGTGTTGACCTTAGCCACATCAATGTCATAGAGCTTCTTTACGGCTTGTTTGATTTGGTGCTTGTTGGCCTTGACATCCACGATGAACACAAGTGTGCTGTTATCTTCTATCTTCTTCATGGCTGACTCAGTGGTCAGGGGAAATTTGATGATGGCACAGTGGTCAAGCTTGTTTCTCCTGGGAGCGCTCTTCCGGGGGTATTTGGGCTGCCGTCGGAGTCTCAGTGTCTTAGGCCGCCGGAAGGTGGGTGACGTGCGGATCTTCTTTTATTTTGGCTGTGGATGCCCTTCAGGACTGCCTTCTTGGCCTTTAATGCCTTTGCTTTGGCTTCAGTTTTGGGAGGGGCAGGGGCTTCCTTCTTCACTTTCGGCACCATCTTCTTAGAAAGGCAAGAATAGGTTTGAGACACTAAACACTAATGATTGAAGACCAGGTGTGTTGTGGGGTGACATAAAGAATATTATCTAGGAAGAAAGCAAAATGTTGTCATAAAGATGGGGGGGGAGAAAAAACCAAAATGGATGTCAGAAGAGACACTGAAAATTGCACTATAACGTTGAGAACCCAAAACTAAGGAAAGAATTGCTAAAGTAAAAGAGCTAAACAGAAGATTTCAAAAGACAGCTCGAGAAGACAAATCATTTAAATGTATAGAAAGCTGGAATTGGAAGTAGGAAAAGGGAAGTATTCACTCGTCATTTCTCAAGCTGAAAGAATCCTGAATGATCAAGGAAATGATCAAAAGAAGATAGAATACACTGAATCACTATATCAAAAATAATACACTGACTCAGAGCCATTTCAGGAAGACGCATCTGACAAAGAGCCAGTGATGACGAAGGGAAAACTTCAGGCTGCACTGAAGGAATTGACCAAAAAATAAGGCCCCAGCAATCAATGAAATGACAAGAGACATGTTTCAAAAAACCAATGCATGGGTTGACTAGGAGCTAAATTTCTTCCCAAGTCGTTTCTCCACTTTTGTGACCATAGGCCACATCGTCAAAACTGGCTCACTTTCATCCCCTCCATTTTCCACCCTGTGAAAGAAGAAAAAGAAAGAAAAGAGTAAGCAATCTCCTTATAAAAAATATGTAATCCAGAAGATTCCCATGTCACTTGGGTTACATCACCACACTCAAAAGAAGCCTAGGAAATATAGTCTCAAACCAAGTCGTTATGTGAGTGGTCATGTTAGAATAGGCTCACCTGTATTATTTCAAAGAAGGAGGAAGTGAATACTCAGGCAAATAAGATCTCTGCTTCAGGCAAAGCTACAAAGAATGATTGAGATCATATAACGTGTTCTGATGTTTAAGGTAAACCAGCTCCCATGACCGTTTGTCCTGGCCTCATTTTCCTGAACACTGTCAGCCAGTCTGCCTCCTGGGAACAGCCCTTGCTGCTGTCCCCCATGGGCACTGCTGAAGAGGGTCACTAAGGAGGACTTCCTTGCTTGGACCTGAGCCATCTTAGCAGCCCAATTACCATTGGAGTCCAGGGATTGGTTTTTTGTTCGTTTGTTTTAAATTTATTTTATTATTTTGTGTGTGTACCGTCAAATTTGATCTGACTGGTACAGGAGGAGATTGGCCCTCCTTCTCCAGCAGAGCATCTGGTGGATTCGAACCATGTACCTCTGGGATTGCAGTACACAGGGGTTGTTTTAAGAGAACTTTTTGTAATGTTTGAGTTGTTGTTAGGTGCTGTCGAGTTAATTTCAACACTTGGTGACCCCATTTCAACAGAATGGTCCTCTCCTGGTCCTGTGCCATTTTCACAATCTCTGCTGTCCTTAAACCCTTTTTGGAGTTACAGTGTCTACCTATCTCATTTTTCCCTCTTTTTCCTAGCTTCTACTTTTCCAAACATGATGTCCTTTTCCAGAGACTAGCCAAAGGTTGAGAATTTTTTTTTATTTGTTTATTGGCTTGTTTTTTTATTTTGGTTTTGGGTTCTTATATTGGTTTATTTATAAAGCTCATACACATTGTTTTTCACACTGGATCCTTCCCATTTCCCTCCTCCACCCTTTCCCTCCACCCCTGATTAACCACCTCCACCCTTGTTTACTGGTTTTCATGGTTTGTTTTGTAACACAACTCACATCAAACCCTGACTGTATTCTGATAGCTATACTCAGTAACCAGGAAAATATTTTTTCCCCCCAGGTCTAATCTTTGTGTCAAAACCCCACCTATATAGCCTCTACCTCTTGGATCTAAGCTGTAGGGCTCTGCTCACCTTCAAGCTTCAGTATCTACCTTGGTCTTGACTTCTATTTATTAAGGTAGTGAGTCTGGATTAATCTCCCATTTGGCTTTGTACTTAAATAGAGACAAGGATGAGTGATGAGAGTGGGTGATTATTGGTTATTTTCACCAATGAACCAAAGAATCTGTGCCTGTCCCCTCCCATATTCAGGTCCAATTACCTTCTTCCTCTCCCCACCATGTCCAGAGCAGCTGGGAGCCCCCCATACAGGAATGGGGCAAGCTTCTCCAGGACATGCAGCAGAAAGTGACCTTACCTCTGGGCTCTCCTCTTTTCTCAGGGTGCAACATAGAAAATGCCTGCTACCCACTGGGCATCTGTGCGGAACGAACTGCCATCCAGAAGGCCATCTCAGAAGGGTATAAGGAGTTCAGAGCAATTGCTATTTCTAGGTGAGTGATAGTCTTTTCAGTCAACATCTACTAGGAGTCTATTATGCATTCATTCATTCTTCTAACATTTATCAGCATTCCCTTCGTGCCTGGCACTGTGTAGGACCCTGGACCAGGTGCTAAGGATAAAGAAATAAGAAATGAACTCTGCCCTCCTTGATTTGAGCCTATACAGCAGGGGAACAGCCAAAGCACAAAGACTTGTTGTTTAGGGTTTTTTTAAGACTTGTTGTTTTGTGTGATGAATCATCACGGCAACACTAAAGAAATTGCCTCTGGAGGGTTTTCAAGGCTATATTGTTAAGTCTAGAGACTAAGGTGCATCTGATCCAGACCATGGTCTTCGCAGTTACTTGCTATGAATCAGAGAGCTGGACAATGACTAAGAATGACAGAAGAAGAATTAATGTCTTTGGTGCTGGAGAAGAGTCTTGACAATACTATCGACCATCAAGAAAACAAATAGTTATGTCTTGGAGAGAGTGAAACCAAGTTTCTCCTTGGAGGCTAGGATTTTGAAGCTCTGTCTCACATACTTTGGGCATGTGGCCAGGAAGTACTGATCTTTGGAGAAGGCTATCATGCTCAGAAGGGTGGAGGGACAGCTCAGGAGAGGAAGACCTTCAAAAAGGTGGACTGATACAGTAACTAGGGCAATGGCGGTAGGGGTGTCAGAATCAGTGAGACTGGATCAGGATAGAGCAGGCTTCAGAGCTGCTATATATAGGTCGCTATGAGTCGAAGGTGACTCGACGGCACATAAAAATAGCAGTTGTTAATAGACAAGCCCTAGTGGCGTAATGACTTCAGTGTTGGGTTCTTAACTAAATAGTCATCAGTCTGGATCCACTCGCTGTTCTACAGGATAAAGTTAGGCAGTCCGACTCAGAAACCCAATTGGACATTTCTACTCAACAAATTATGGCTAGTATTGAGAATGGGAAGCCAGAACACTTAATTGTACTCATGCAAAACCTATACATAGAGCAAGAGGCTTTTGTCAGAACAGAGCAAGAAAACACTGCATGGTTTAAAAATTTTAAAAAGTGTGCATCGGGGATGTATCCTTTCTTCAGACTTAATCTGTATGCTGAGCAAATAATTCAAGAAACTGGATTCTGTGAAGAAAAATATGGCATCAGGATTGGAGGTAAACTTATCAACCACCTTTGTTATGCAGAACACACAGCCTTGCTTGTTGAAAGTGAGGAGAACTTTGAAACGCTTCTTACTGAAGGTCAAAGGCTACTGCCTTCAAGATTAATTGTATCTCAACATCAAGAAAACAAAAATCCAAACCACCAGGCCAATAGGCAACATCATGACAGATGGAGAAAAGGTTGAAATTGTCAATGCTTTCGTCTTACTTGGATCCACAATCACCACCCTTGGAACGAGCAGATAAAAGATGTGTCACATCAGAGAAATCTACTGTCAAGGACCTCTCCAAAGTGCTAAAGAGAAACAATGCCAGTTTAAAGACTAAAGTGTAGCTATAAATAAAAAAGTCAATGTTAAAAAAATAGTAAAAAGACACAAGTGTTGCTGATCCAAGCTATGATCTTTTCAACTCATGCTATGCACCTGAAAGTTGGATGATAAGGATGATGAAGAAGAACTGATGATTTTGAGTTACAGTGTTGGAGGAGAGTGCTGGCTATCCCATGGACTGCCAACAGAACAAACAAGTCTGGCTTGGGGAAAGTTCGACCAGGGTGCTGCTCATTGGAGGCAAGGGTGGTGAAATGTCATCTCACATACTCTGAGCATGTTATTGAGAGGTCAGTCCTGGAGAAGGAAAGGTAGAGGGTCAGCATAAGAGAGGAAGATCCCAAACGAGATTGATTGACACAGAGCCTGTAACAGTGGACTCAAGTATATTGGAGATGGTGAGGACAGCAGAAGATAGGACAGGGTTCAGATCCATTGTTCACAGGGAGGCTCTGAGTCACGTTCAACTGAACGGTACATAACAACAACTATCCTACAGGGAATCTAAGAGTCAGAATCAACGTAATGGCAGTGAGCAAAGGGCTGAGTGCGTCTTTAGGAAAGTAGATTACCACAGCTCTCCCTTAAAGAACGGCAGGTGAGTTTGAACCATTGGCCTTTCAGTTAGTAACCAAGCACTTAACCATTGCCCACCAGGGCTCCTTCAGGCAAAGGCAGGCGTATTCGTGCTCTAATAACACAGAAGTATAGCAGAGTGAATTCCTACAAGATACAGCAGAAAGGCAGCGTGGAAATCCGAACCGGGAAGGACTCACCAGTCACTTACTGTTCACTCCCCTGCCACCACCTCAATTTTACAACTTCAGAAATGAGGCCCAATACAGTTCCAGACTATCCAAATAAAGTGAATGTTGCAATAAAGTGAGTCACACACTTTTTTTATTTCTCAGTGTATACAAAAGTCATGTTTGTGCTATGACAGTTTATTACACTCTACTGTAATCTACTGAAGGAGATTTGATGGTGTAATGCAGTACATGTTGGATTGCTAACCAGAAGTTTGGCAGTTCTGATTTATTTCCCATAGGGAAAAAGGTAAAGCCGTTTCCTTCTGTAAAGGTTTATAGCCTTAGAGACTGAAACTCGATGAAGCATTGCTGTGAGTTAACGTCACCTCCAAGGCAGTGGGTTTGGCTTTTGGTTCTTGGTAGTCTGTTAGATGTGCAATAATAGTGTTATGAAAAAGTTCGAAATATTGTGAGAATTGCCAAAATGTGACTCAGAGACACAAAATGAGCACAGGCTATGGGAAGGGCAATGGCACCAAGAGATTTGCTTGATGCTCAGTTGCCACAAACTTCCACTTTATAAAAACCGTAATATCTGAGAAGTGCAATAAAACAAGCGATGCCGGTACAGGCTAAAACTTGGATGAGACTTTAAAGGACTTTGCTGAGAAAGTAAGTCAGCCACAAAAGGATATAAATAACCAAAAGGTTAGTGGTTCAAATCTACCAGCCACTCTGCAGAAGACAGATGAGGCAATCTCCTCTTGTTGCCTGTTGTATGATCTCATGTGTATGCAACATCTAGACAGGGCAAATGTGTAAAGGGCAAAGTACTAGTGGTTACTAGGGGCAGGAAGGGAGGAAAAGGAGGGAGCCATTGGTTAGTTAGGACCCAGTGAGTTACTATTTGTGGTGGTGGAGCTTTGGCAATGTTAATGGGTGAGGGTTGCCCATCATGACTAATGTAATTGATATTACTAAATTGTCCACATGAAAAAGGGTAAAATGGCAAGTGTTGTGATATATATTTTTACAACCATTTTTTAAAAAATGTAAAGTCTTAAAATAAATAAAGCTGCATCTAGAGCCACTGAAGAGTTTTCCCTGGAGTGGGTAGCAGAGCCAGAACAAGGGCTGAGTCCTGCTTCAGGTCTCTTTCTGCAGTGCCAGGCTGTGCCAGGCGGTGCAATGCTTTTCCATGCTCTCCAGAGTTGGTGCCGTATGAGGCACTGATTCCTTTCGCAACACTCACCAGACCTCCTGTATGCCAGAGATAAGCGGGTCAGGTGGCTGCCAAACACTAATGATGGTTCATGCTGCTCAGATTGCAGCTGAGATGCCAGCTGAACAAGAGCCCGGATCACCCCTCTCCCCACGGCCCTAAACATCCTGGTCGCTGTGTCTGCTTATACTCCCAGGAGTGTTTGTCAGTCCTACACCCAGACTCAGTAGCTTCAAGAGATAAGCTTGTTAATGGGCTCTTATACTAATTGGGACCCAGTTAGGATTCTGATTTAATGATAATTTGCTCTTGTGTACACCTACGCATTGTCTGCGAATAGGATGTTGCTAGCAAGTTTATGATGCAAGAAAATAACACGAGAATGAAAATGCATGCTGTTGGTCTTGAGAGACATCTGACTGCACCATGAGTGAATTCTGCAAGTTCTCCCTGGTACACTTAAGCCAGAAGTAGAAATGCCAGGGCTGTTCCATTAGCAAGACCAAGACCTAGGGGGCTGTGGATAGAAACAACCCACAGTTATTTTGTAAGATGCTCATGGCACTGGTCTGGCCCCGAGTTGGTTTAGGTTGTTGAAGGTTGGTTTCTGAGCCAAGAGAGTATTTTCGGGAAAGGGCCCCGTGTCGAAAGCCCTCCCTAGGACCCAGGTCCATGCTGGCTTTGCTTCCGCTGCAGGAAGAGTAAATGAGGCCACGCTGGGAACATTGTGTGAGGCTAAGCAGAGACCAGCATGTGAATTACACTTTATATGAAAAGGGGGAAATAACTCTATTTCAAAGCAGATCCAAGAAAATAATGACATTCTGGGGAAAATGAGGCCAAAGTCAACAAAAGGGTAACAGCACTGTGACCTTGCTCAGGTCTGAATTTTCTAAATGAAAGCCTTTTTCTCTTGGCCATAATCTACTTTTAAACATGACTGGGTGTTGCTAATGATGATTAGTGAATATCTTTATTTACACAAAACCTGTGTTTTTCTAGCATCCAACAGCTCTATTCTGAATCTCCAGCCTGTACCAGCATCTCCAAGCCAGAAAAACAGTCATTATTGCTCTAATGATTTGTTAAATTGGGAGTGTCGCCTTAGAAGAGTAGAAAATGCCAATTCTCTTATTAACATGAAGCAGTGTGACTAGTCTAAGAGGCCCTTTGCGATCTATAAAGACGGAGGCTTCCAATCAGAGAAGCCCGTGTGTCTGCAAAGCTCAGGATGGGATTTCACCAACAGAGAGATAAGCTTACCCCAGTGGGGTCCCAGCTGTAGTCACTAAAGTGGATGAGTTTCCAGCCTGTCAAATCTGATAAGTGTGGCTGCAGTGTTTGGCCAAGGTCAGTACAAACGACATCAAACTGTTAATATCTAACAATGGATACATGAAGGTGAAGGGCAGGGGAGATAGAGAAAGGTGAGCATATGGAGGGAATGTTCTGATGCACTTTCTGGAATGTATTTACTTCCAAACTTCTGGGAATATTGAGAAATGTCTAAAAGCCCAGACTATAGGGTTAATGAGTCCCAATTTAAAATTCTGCTTCACTGTTAACTTACTGTGTGACCTCAGGAAGGTTGCTTAGCCTCTCTGAGCCTGGTTTGCATCTTGGAACTAAAGATGAGTAAGATTTATCCTTTGGGTAGTGGAGACTCACTGAAATGATTTCTGAATAGTTCTTAGCACTGGGGATGCAATATTAAAGTTGTTATTATTATTAGGAGGCTCTGATGGCTTAGTAGTAAGGAGTTTCACTGCCGAATCAAAGGCAGGTGGTTTGAATCTACTAGCTGCTCTGCAGGAGAAAGATGGGTCTTCTCCTCCAATGGGATTTACTGCCTCTGAATACCAGCTGGAGGGTCAGCTATGAGTCAGTTCTGACTCCACAGCATACAAAACCAGCATTATTCTTTTTACTCCTGCAAGGCACACAAACCACCAAAAACCTAGTTTCTGAATTCAGAACCTAATTCTGCCATTTTCTAGCATGGTGCTTTGGGGCAAGGCCCTTTGCCTTTCATGAATCTACAGCATGTAAGGTATGAGATGAGAGTCACTTTACCTTTCGCGGTCTATGGCGTGTTATGAGGATGGGCACCCTGCAGGACACTTTATAGGAATTACTTAATTTTCATTAACAAACATTTAGTGGGCCCCTGCTATGTGCCAGGTATGTCCTTGGTCCTTAGGGATACAGCTCAATGGGAGAAAGATGGGCTGTCTCCTCCCATGCTATGGAAACCCAGCCTCAGAAACCCACTGAAGATTCAGCTCTAAGTCAAGGCCAGCTCAACATCAATGAACTTGAGTTTCAATGCATATATAGTTCCGTTTACACTATACTGTAGTCTGATAAGTTGGGCAATTGTGTTATGAAAGTGAAACAGCAGAATTTCCAAAATGGGACGAGAAGCACAAAGTGATCAAATGCTGTTGGAAAATGGGGCCTAACGCTTTCTCAAAAAGTTGCAAATAGAGATACCATTTGACCCAGCAATTCCACTACTGGGAATATACCCTGAAGAGACCATAGCTGACATCCA